AACTCCGGCTCGAAGGAATGTCCTTTTGGCTCTGGCCCAGATCCTGCGGCACTGCTGTGTTTTTGGCCCTGCCCAGGTGGCTCCTCTTCAATGGTTGCCTAGCCTTGAGCTCTTGCCTCACTTTGGGAATACAACTGGACAAGCAGTTTGGAGTGAACCCTGGGCAGGAGATGTTGGTCCTGACCACCAGGGTTGTCCGCACCTCCAGTAGGAAAGTGAGTGGGGGGGTGATGGTGTGAGAGCAACGCCAGTGGGAGGCCCAGGCTTTGGGTACAGGGCATCCTGAATCAGGGGTAGCTGCACGGGAGGGGAGAGGACCTTAGGCAGAGCTGCAGGATGGGGAATTAGCTCAAGCTAATTAGCTAAGCGCTTGCTTAGCATGCGAGAGGGAGTGGGATCGATGCCTGCATTCTCCAATGTTTTTAATTCCCATTACCTGGACACATAGGTGTCCTTTGTCCTCTTGGGTCTGTGGGGAGCCTTCGTTGTACCCTAAGGCTGCATCAGGAGTAGCATAGGTCATTGGCATAGGCAAAACATTATCCCTCCTTGTTTGGCAGTAATTAAATGCCATTCAGAGTACTTCACATATTTCCTAATAAATTTCTTAATCACCATTATACTCTGTCACAGAGGTATCAATCTGTTGGAGCAAGTCCAGAGGAGGGACACCAAGATAATTAGAGGAATGGAGCTCCTCTCCTCTGAGGAAAGGCTGAGAACCAGTATTATTCAACCTGTAAAAGAGAAGCTTTCAGGGTGACCTAACTGGGATCTTGCAGTACCTAGAGGGCCTACAAGAGAGCTGAAGAGGGACCTTTGACAAGGGCATCCAGTGATAGGACGGGGGGAAGGGCTATAGACTGAAAGAGGCTAAATTTAGATTAGATATTAGGAAGAAATTCTTAACTGTGAGGGTGGTGAGACACTGGAACAGGTTGCCCAGAGAAGCTGTGGATGCCCCATCCCTGGAAGTGTTCAAAGCCAGACTGGATGAGGCTCTGAGCAACCTGGTCTAGTGAAACGTGTCCCTGCCCAGGACAGAGGAATGGAACTAGATGATATTTAAGGTCCCTTCCAACCCAAACCACTCTATGATTTCTTTTGTAAATAGTCTATAAAACAGGATCTTTTGAAACTTCTGAAGAAAAGAAATCCAGTATCTTTATGCATATTACTTCACTGTCAGACTGGAAAGCCGAAGTCAAAGTACAGTTCAAGTTATTATGCCAAAAAAAGATTCTAAAGATTATTTTTGTATGGTATTGAAGATAAACAGACCTCCTTTGAAATTCTGCTGATTAGAAGCCTATTAGCTTTACTCTTTGATAAATTAGATTGTGTCAAACTCCAAATAAAAGCACAGAGAGGTACATCTGTCATGTTTATTAAAAAGTAAATTTTGCCCTGGGCTGTAGTAGTATGATTAATAGTGACTTAATTAATAATGGCAGGAAACTCAGAATCAGGTATTGCTGGTTTTATACCTTGTACTAAAGAATACCAGTTCAGTAGCAGATTTTTGGATTAGCATAAATTAAAAGACAATTAAAGCAAATCTATGAGACTGACTCATCATTTTATCTTGCAAATATTTACAGCTACTCCATTAAAAGTGAATCCCTCTGACATTTCCACTTTAGTCAGAAGCAGTCTTTTTTTTTCTCTAATTACTAATAGAGATGGAGAAAGCACCACTGTCAGTTTTGCCATAGATCACTATGTAAATCATCTGTATTCATGTTCAGCACTAAATAAAGTTAATTCCTTTCTACGTTCTCCCATGACAACTCTCTCCATTGGGGATTAAAGAAGGCCTCCTTTACAGAAAATTAGATGTAAAAGCAACAGGAAGACATGAGGTTTGTTACAAAATATAGTCTCTGAAGCCAGGTTATACTACAAGGACACAGAAGGCGCAAGTCATGAATGAATTTGATAATGTAGTAAGCTTTTTCCCCAGTGGTATGATTATGCAAGACAACAGAACAATGGGTTGTCAACAATTTTTTTTCCATTGTGTGAAAAGTTTGGACAATCACTACTTCTGCCTCCATGGGCAGAATTAACAGAAAAGGGAGAAATGAATTTGTTCAAAAACATGGAGGACAGAGTTCCAGCAAAATTCAAGCTAAGCAATGACACAAGTAGACCTATTTCATAACTCCTTTCTGAGTTCAAATATATTCTTACATTTCATAGGAAAAGCAAGCCACATTAAAGTTTAACTGGTAATACAGTGCAACCAACAACACCCAGAGCGATGCTGTAATAAAAGCTTTACAATATTTCTTAAACCTGAAAGTACATGCCTGATATATTTCACTGCCAATACAATTTATTTCACTCATGACATTTAAAGTTCTTTCTCTTTCAACAGCAGCCAAACAGATTTAGGAGCAAAATGACCCATAAAATCTTCTGGTCTTACTTCTAGATCTTGTTACATTTCACCACTAAAATATTTTTCACCATTTTGGTAACTTGTCTTTGGGTAAAACTTGTCTTCATGTCCTCTCTTCTTTTTCAATAGAGAAACTACCATTTTCTGTGCCATATTTTTCAGTAGTTGGTTACACTCACAATTAAAACCATGTACCTTTTTCAGCTCAAATAATTTTCAAATTCCAAGCATTGGTTTTGGTTATGCCTGCCTTCATAAAGTGAAGAACCCTCTTACACTTAGTAATTTTCCCTTTCAAGGATATTGCACGCTATAATCAAATAATCTGTTGGTCTTCTTTATTTTTTTTTCTGACAAGATAAATGAATCGAACTCTTTATATCTCTGACTCTACTTCTCAAATTATCATTATAGCACTTTTTTGCATTGGCTTTACTTTTCAACATACTTCAGGAAAAAGCTGTTATAAAACAAGAACTGGGTGCAGTATTCGAAGACTGTGCTTCACAAGCACAGCCTGTGTTAGTTTATCCTAACAGTCTGACCTCTCACGCAGTTAGATTAAAACATTTCAGATAAAGGACAGATTGTTTGTGGGATGAAATCAATAGACTCACATTGCATCATCTTGGATTCTTTTCAGGCTCACAGGTAAAAAAAAAGAAAAGATTGTTGCAATGAATGTCTACAGCGCAGGTAACTCAAAAAGTTACCTGGTATAATCATGCCAGACACATAAGCATTTTTAGACCTGTTGCAAAGCACACTTTACATACCTGTAGGACTTCTTAATCTCATCATGTGTTGCTCCTTTTTCTAGTGCCAGGATTTCATATAATGCTTCACCTGATGTTGACAAAGCACGTTGCCTTTGTTCAGCCATGTTGGCAGTGCATTACCAAAGCTGTCAATGTAAAACATAATTTAAAACACCAGGGACTGCAAGTATATATGGATAGTATTTCTTAGCATTCATTTTAATAGCTTTTTATGAGGCAGTAACCGGCTAAAAATACATGAAAGTGAATCTAGAATAAAATCTCCTCTAAATTATCCTCTGTTCTTCGAGATATTTTACGATTAGAAAAACATGAGAAAATGGAAAAGCCAAAGAACAGGAGCTTTTGTTTTAGTATCACTGTTCATACTAAAGGCTTGATGTTGCTGTCACTGAATTGATTGCCTAAATTTGCTTCAGCATTCATAACCAAACATTATATTCCCACTTAGTTTTATTTGTGATTGTTTATGTCTCTCTCTATTAACTCTATAGTGTGCTCACTATGACTGCATTCCTAACTCACAAGTCTGAGGACAGTGGAATGAATCTGGACGTGGGTAATGAGACTAGATACCAAGAATTGACCTTCGCATTATAAAAGTAACTTTATCACAACATTCTGCATGTGAAATACTGACATCAATCAGGGTCCTATCTTATTTGAGATACAAGAATTTGGGCTGAATTGATGAGCTTGTGATAGATTTAACAAGGTACCTTTACAGTATAGTTCAAGCAAAGGCTACGCACAGACTGACAGATTCAGTCCACTTCAGATCTATCTTTTGTTCCTTCTTTCAGCACAGAAGAGAAGCAGACAAACCAGTGATTCTCCACTGAGTGGATTCCACTACCTTCCTGCAGTTCACAGTTCATTCTTTTGTATTTGAAAAACCAAATACTTTTAACCCAGGCCTAGCTATTGCTAGGTGGTGACACAAAGAAACTCATGCAGCAGAAAATCCTTCTAGCAGCCTTCCAGTACCTAGAGGGCCTACAAGAGAGCTGAAGAGGGACCTTTGACAAGGTCAAAGGGGGAATGGCTATAAACAGAAAGGGGCTAAGTTTAGATTAGATATTAAGAAGAAATTCTTAACTGTAAGGGTGGTGAGACACCGGAACAGGTTGCCCAGAGAAGCTGTGGATGCCCCCTCCCTGGAAGTGTTCAAAGCCAGACTGGATGAGGCTCTGAGCAACCTGGTCTATGCCCATGGCAGGGGATTTGTAACCAGATAATCTTGAAGGACCCTTCCAACCCAAATGATTCTATATAAATCATAATTTAAAACACAAGATGAAGATACCTATGATTCATGATAGAAAGCTGCAAATCTTTAATGGTAGACTTGTCACAACAAAACCCTCACCGCAACTCCTTTATTTCTTTGAACATTGCACCCACCTCCAAACGTTGAAAAGTGATCACAGAAAAAGCCTAAAAGTGAGCTGTAACCCCAGCTATAAGAAAAAATTTTGAGAACCAGTTTTGTTAGATAAGACTACCCTCTCTGCTATTACACTCTTCTCAATGCTGAGCACGAAACACTATCATGCCATTATTCATATATTATTTACTAGGTCACATTTTGGTTCAGAACCAGCCATGTAACACTTTTAAGTTCTTCAGCTTTGTTCAATATGGAAAAGAAAATCAAATACCATGTAAGTACACAGAGAAATATAATCCACTGAGTAATTCTGGCACATAGTAATTGATTTACTAAAAGACCTAAATTTGTGCATATTTACTTTGATTTTTTTTCTGATCATCTAGCACACAATTTAGGGTCCTGTGATCTGCTGAAAAAAAATTTCCTCTCTATTTTTAAGTGTTGTACACAATCCATCAACTAAATGGACCTAACTTCAGTTTTTATGTTAATAATTAAGAATGAAATTGCATATGAGCATCTAGATATTACTTTACCACCTGCAGTAGTTACCATGCTATTTGTTAATAATGGTATGCTTTGAGCATATTTAACGTAATCCTGGGATCTATCTTGATCACACCGGAATCAAGCAAAGCACATCAACCCTGTCAATGCACCAAATAATGGTGGGCAACCATGTGAAGTCACAGATAGACAGCATTAGTTAAAAATCTGTTACATAGTGCTGATCAGCTACATGGCAACTCTGAAGCATAAACCAAAATTAAAGTTACAATGGACTTAATTCTGAAGAACTAAAATGTTATGTAATTTGTATTTTGTCATAAAATAATTTTAATAACCTAATTAGCTATGGAAATTTAAACTCACTAGCCTGTTCAGTTTTCTAGTGATTAATCACCTTTAAGGTCTAGCAACTCAAAATTATTTCTTATTCATTTAAAGCAGTCCTATAAAATACTAAAACTGCAATGAGAATACTATTCTAGAAAAAGTTACACTTTCCTTATTAAAGAGGATTCAACAATCACAATTTTAGTGCTAGATACAGTCCTGATGGCTGAAATTATGTCAGAATCCTGTTTTCAAGCTATGTATTTTTGCTCCAGTAGAACAAAGTCAAGAAAATGTTGTTTCCTTCCTTGAATGACAATGAAACAAAAGACAATCCAAGTTCTGGTAATAATTCCACATCTCCTAAGAGGATGGGACCTCAGTTAACTTCAGCTGGTTTTGCGTAAATTTTATATTATCCAGGATTAAATATTTTATACAGGGGTTGTAATAATATGACTTTTTTTCTTACAATACCCATAGTCCATTTGGATTTGTGCTGAAAAATAAGACAAAGTTATTCAAATAACATACCTGCTTCAAAAGTGATGGAACACAGTCTGGCATGTATAAACTCACAACATTATCAGTTTGATATCTTGATATCTTTATGCCAATATCATCCAAAAGGAAAGAAGCAAGTGCCACCAGAAGCCCGGTTCCACAGAAAGCAGCTGCTGTTTTTCATCCTTCACAATCAAGGTAAACAGGTCAGTGGAGTCTGATTACTCCTTTTGTTTGTTTGTCCAGTATCCAGTTGGTTATCTCTCAGGAAGATCTATGAAAGAACGAATAAAACATTCATGAGCCTAAAGGCTGCTCTATCCAAAAGTTAATGACACCGAAAAATGTGGGACGCCTGCGTATTCAGTTAGTTGTTCTCTGTGTTTACTCTTGACGAGGTCTTGAGTTTGTCTCTTTTTCCTCATGCAAATGCATCAAATATTTTTAAGTATACAACAGTCTTGCTGAAAATTTCACTTTAAGACTCGTCATGGCTTAGGTTTACTACATAGTGTCTTCCAGAACAGGATTAACTGAAGAAGTCCCTTTAGGACTCCTCCTGAGTTCTAGTAAATTTTTATATCAAAAAAGAAGATGCAGGATGTCTTCTCTTATTCTAATGAAGTTTCTCCTCTGAATTATACCATGAAAAGCTATACCATTCCTTTCCATTTGGAATACAGGAGACTATAAATGCCAGAGACTAAAAACCTCTAATTTTTCTTGATATATCATCCTTGGAACCAAATAGTTCATCCTTTGAATTTAAAAAGTTCCTAGATCACCCAGTTAAAAATTATATATTTTTGTATGGGTTGACCTCGGCTGGTTGCCAGACCTCTACCCATCCACTCTCACATTATCGCCTCTCAACAGAATGGGAATAGAGAACAAGCTAAAAAGCTCACAGATAAGATAAAAATAGGGTGATCCCTTACCCCTTACTGTCTTGGGAAAAACAGACTCAGCTTGGGGAAAATTAATTTAATTCAATGCCAATTAAAATAGATTTAGATGGTGAGAAACAAGGACAAAAATTAAAACAACACCTTCCCCTCACCACCTTGTTTCCAGGCTCAAATTCATTCCTTCATTTGTAACTCATCTTTTCTCCATCATCAATGAGCAGAGTCAGGAGGGTGGGAATGGTGGGTTGTGGTGAGTTCTTAACAGTTCTTTTCTGCCACTCCTTGCTCCTCACATTTTTCTCCAGCTCCAGTGTGAGTCCTTCCACAGGCTGCAGTCCTTCATGAACTGTTCCAGTGGGAGTCCTCCATATGCCGTGTTTCCTGTCAGAAGAACTTATTCCTGCATAGCTGCTCTCCATGAACTACAGGTCCTTCAGGAAATATTCACCTTCTCTGGTAGGGGGTGGATGGGCTGCAGTAAAATATCTGCTCCACTGTGGTCCTCTTCACAGATAGAATGGAAATACCTGCTCCAGCACGGTCCTCTCCACACACTGCAGGGGAATCTTGGAATCTCTGCTCTGGTGCCTGGAACACCTCCTCCTTATTCTTCTCTGACCTTGGTGTTCACAAGGCTATTTCTCACACTTTCCCCTCACTCCTCACTGCCATGCTTTGTTTTGCTCTTTCTTAACTATGTTTTACTAGAGGTGCCACTAGCTTGGCTGATGGGCTTACCTGTGTCCTGTGTCTGTTGTGGAGCTGGCTGTATCCAGTCCTTACCTCCTGCCACAGGGGTTCCCTACAGTGCACTGCTACCTATATCTTGTCATGGACACCCATTTCACTTTTATGTAAAGTCCTGCAGGTGGATTTATGGAGCCCCATCACCCAGGTAAATCTACCTTAGTTAGAGTCAGTGAGTTTGTTCTTGAATTCTACTGCAGGACTGAAACTATAAATCTTTCTTTTTTTTTTTTTTTTTAAAAGCAAGTGTTATTATGATAATAAACCCCCACTATTTGTGAAAAATAAAGAAATAAAATGACAGCTGATAAAAAACCTGTTAAGTGGACGGTTTATAACGTGAAGAATATGATTTTAACATTTTTCTTGTTCTTAGGCATATTCTTTCCTTTCAAACACTCCCTCAAATTCCAGTTTTCTTTGGGGACAAGGCAAGGCACATTTCAATCTAAAATGTGAGTGTTTTTCATAGTTATGAGAAGTCAAAATAGCACAGACAAAATATCTTTCCAGGACAATAACAACGGAGTAGTCACAGCTAATTCTACTACATTGTATGAACACAATAAACCAGATTATTCAATCAGTGTGCTTGATCCCTATCTTTGAAATTATTTTATCATTCTTGCAAAACAAAACAAAACAAAATGTACACTTTTAAATGGTAAGAAGAAATTAAGGGGAAAAAAAAACATGCAGAAAATAAAATCACTTC